TATAAATGAGGCAAAAAAATAGCTACCCTACCTACTTAAGGAAACAATTCATTAAAAATTATTTCATTCTCTAATTATTACAACGATCCTCATATTAAAATTATTGTACTTTCGCTCTATTTTTTTTAAAATTTAGATGTACACACATTTATTTAATAATACATATATAATACATCTTTAAAGAAGAAACGAGGGCCCAACAAGTTAGGGCCCCAAGCAATTGCTTTAGTGGCCTTATAATTGAGCCACCTATGTTTGTAAGATAATATTTTTAGATTATCTATGTAATATAAGCATACTAGTAGTTCAGTTACATATTTTCTTACTTATCAATTCACAACTTTACAATAAGAAGTGCCTACTTTTATATAACTTAACAGTATAAATTTTTATTTAGAAAAGATCAAATCCGAGAAAGGATATGAAAAAATTATGCGACACAATAAATGTATATACTGTATATATTATTCGTAGCTATACTTTCAGAAAATGATCATTTATAGCCATATTTGAATTTTATAACAAATCCACCAGTAATATTGAAACTAGACCTGTTATATGGGTCAACCCGACCCGAACCTGAACTCGTTGACTCTTGGCCAGTGTGTTCTTAACCGGGCTGGTCCGATTCACTTTCTTATAGGAGCCGGTCCGGATTTGACCCGTTAATCAAAACATGTTGACCCGATCGCGACCCGTAACCTGTAACCCCTTAACTGCGGACCCTAATGGGTTGAATTCAATTTAATTAAAAAAGTTAAAAATTAATAAATGATAAAAAATTCAAACTTTATATACATATATACGAACTTGAAATTACCACATGTCCTTGAAGACAATTAGAATAAAAATGAAAGAAAAATCATATTTTATTAACATTAAAACTTGAGAAACATATGAAATTCGACTATTTCTATAACTAATAATCTAAAACATATGGAACTCGACTATTTCGACAAGACACCTCATAGTGTCTGGTACTATAATATTTCTTCAATGTTTGGATTTAATTTTTTACCACTTGTCTGAATATATATATGTGAGTTGGTCCGGGCTGGTTGACCCGTGGGTTAGCTACCAGTTCGGTCTCGTCCGATTCAGTGGGTCAAAATATTATAGCCCGACCCAGGCCCTTTAAATTAATGGGTTGGTCCGGTTAGGGTTACGTAGGCCATGGGTCGGTTAAAGGGTCAATTTTAATAGATTATGTGGGTCGATTCATGGGTCGACCCGGCCCATTTGACAGGTCTAAATGAAACAAGAGACTAATTATTTCGAACTGAAATAATTACTCTCGTAGCTCAGTTGGTTAGACCACCCGCTTAGTAAGTGGAGGTCTTGAGTTTGAGTCTTAACAAAAGCATCATATTTTCTGTATTTCCCATTTGTTGCGCGTCTGAATACAAATACTTCGTGAAAATTCCTCGAACGATATTTGTGCAAATAAGAAACTAGAATGGGCTTTATAGAGTGGTCTACAGAAAATGAAGCCCATCCAATTAAGAGCAAATATTATTTATAGCCACTCGGCCCAAACCTATAACATCCGGTAGCCCAAAATTACAATACACATTTTATACCTTAAAAGTAATTCTAGTGGGTAGCCCAAAAGTAATTCTAGTAGCTAGCCCAAAAGTACTGGGGCTCAGATCTGCAAAGACAGGTCGCGGAAAAGAGAGGCGACCACGCCATGGCTGCAAAATCACTGATTCCATCCAAAGAAAAAACCTTTGAATCGCCGGGCATCCGGAGATGAGTTTGCTTAATCCTTAGGTCACTGGTTCGAATCCGGTAGGTCGGATTTTGCTTTTACTTTTCTTTTTTTGTCGGAAGTGACTGTGGAATTAAGTTCTAGGTTGTGCTGGAAACAAGCAAACCCATGTATAAGATGGATAGAAATGGCATCAGAAAGCGGGAAATCCTTTTTTTATCCAAAATAATGGAGTTCTAATTGTGTATTGTTTTCTTCTTCTTTAGATACAATGACAATTTGTTTTAACAATGTGTTTCTTCTTCTTTTAGGCCATATATGCAAAAATTTGGGTGAAACTCCATTACGTTTAGCTTAACCAAAAAAAATATCGGAATTTGCAAAAATGGACGATGGAGCAAATGAATTATGTAGCTTGGTTATATGAATTTTTCAGTTGCATTTTGATTTCGGGAGATGTAATGATGTACTTATGAGTTATTATGATAGATCAGCCTCAAGGGTTTGGTAGCAAGTAAGAAGCTGAGAAGAAAAGCAATCTTCACTTCGCTGGTTGTTGAGGTCAAAATTATGATACTTGTCCCTTTGTTGGTGGTCATCCTTGGTTGAAATGTCAAAGCACTTATACAAGTTGTGCTATCTAAATAATACTATGTCTCATGTATCATGTTAAAGGTTTTACCTGTCTTCTTAGAGGGCTGATTGTGTTGTTTTTTTGTTCAAAGTCAGTATACTTTGGATCTCCATTTTGTAACGCTCTCTTTTTCTTCTTTTTTTTTTGCGGCAAAATAAACACTTTATTGTGAGTCTTTTCCTACGATCTCTAGGGCTTAATCAGTTTTTCATTTAAACTCTACTCACTGTTTTACTGATTGTTTTATTCTGATTTTGTTCTTAATATCAGAGGAATATTCCAAAACAGCTTCCAATGTAAAAATATACTAAATAGAATGTCACTATACAAAACATATACAAAATAGACTGTCACTATACAAAATATATACTAAATAGACTGTTAATATACAAAAAAATATACAAAATAGACTGTCACTATACAAGTTAGACTATCAATATACAAAAAATATACAAAACAGACTGTCACTATACAAAAAATATACAAGATACACTAAAAAATATAAGATACACTTATATACAAAATTTACCGTCACTATACAAAATATATACTAAATAGACTATTACTATATAAAAAATATACAAAATAGACTGTCAATATACAAGTTAGACTGTTAATATACAAAAACTATACAAAACAGACTGTCACTATACAAAAAATATATAAATTACACTGAAAAATACAAGATACACTTATATACAAAATTGTACTAGTATATATACTATTTTTTATACATTTTATAACAATTTATATATAATTTTTATAATATACACTAAAAATACAAGATACACTTATATACAAAATTTATACAATGTGTATATAAAAAATTCAATACATTGTATAACTATATATA